CCCAACACTCCAGGTATTTCCCTCCTTATAGCTGGCAACCCTACTTTCCCCTCAGTGCCTGATGGTAGGCAACTTAGTTTGGTCCAGTCACCTACTTTGGCCTTTGGGAGAAAACATATTGGGGCCAATCCTGATAGGGTTGCCAACTCCCGATGGGAAATTCCTGGAGATTTGAGGGATGGAGCCTGAAGAGGGTGAGGTTTGAGGAGGGGTGGGACCTCAGACAGGTACAATGCCATAGACTCCACCCTCCAAACCACTCAGTCCCTCATGGGGAACCATTGTTGCCAATCTCCAGGTGAGGGCTGGAGACCACTCAAAATTACAATTGCTCTGCAGAAGGGAGGGCAGAAGTCAGCTGAAGTCAAAGGGGCAGATAATGGTAGGTTGATGGTTAGCTGCGAAGGAGATGGGGTTGCCAACTCCAGGCTGGCAAATTCCTGGGGATTTGAGGGGTGGAGCCTGGAGAGGGTGGGGTTTGCGGAGGGGTGGGACATCAGACAGGTAGAATGCCATAGACTCCACCCTCCAAACCAGCCATTTCGTCCTGGGTAACAATTGTTGCCAATTTCCAGGTGAGGCCTACAGATCACTCAAAATTACAACTGCTCTTCAGGGAGCAGAGATCAGTTCCTCTGGAGAAAACAGTGGACTCTGCCATTATTCCCTGCTGAGGTCACCACAGCAAAATGACACTGTTTGCCCAAAGCCAGAGCACTCCCCCAGAGCCTCTTTCTAGATCCCGTTGTATTTATTTCCACAACGGGCTTTACTGCTAGTAATACAATAAAAAACCAACTCTCAAAACTGAAGTAGAACTATTTTATTAATCATTCATTCAACTGTGACAAAGACAATGTTTCTAAATAAATGTTTGCTCAGTTTATATCTAATTTATCTTTATTAACAAAAGGTCAAGTTAGCTAGGAAGGATTTACTAAGTTGTTCAGAGTTCACAGAATTCTCGGGAAAAAACAGATTTATAAAATGGCAGTAACATATTGTTTGGCAATGCCATGCGGTTTCTCTCTTTTGAAATACAATTTGAGAGAGCCAGTGTGTATCCTAATTTTTTATTCTGCAGCATGTCTAATGCCTGCATAAGATATCAGAAACATTTAACTCCCTGTTCATAACTCTCCTGCAAAACTTGACAAGTTATAATTGTGAACTAATCTCACAAGACACACCACTAACATCCAAGCAACAACCTAATGCTTGGAAACACGTTAAAAGCTCTTTTAACTGAGCTGACTGAACTTTTGATTCTACAGCACCAAAACCAGATTTACATCATTTTCCAATTTAAAAAAAGTTATAAAATATAGAAATACTTAAAATATATTTCTATACAAAATATGCAAACTTTGTAACTTCCTTAAGTTCTACATTTGTACATCCAAGTGCTTTTATATAAATTAATTTTCTGTAATCAAGGGGTCGCTACTTTCTACTAGAGCTGTTCTCAACTTAATGCTTCTAACTTTTTTTACTACTTTCTAATAACCATTTTCTTTCAGCTGAGGTCTGATCATCTGCACTATATTTTTAACTTTTTAATTGTGAAACCACAACAGAAATACAAATGACTGAATAGCATGAAATAATTTCTGAACATCAGACAGTGCAATGAAACCGAGTCCTGCTATGTTGTTGCATGATTATCAGAGCACGCAAGAAGGCAACAATATCATTGAACCACAAATGACAATTTAATCCAAGATCTGCTCCAGCTTTCTTTTTTAAGTTCCCATTTTATCTATATGTATTTTTACTAATAGCTATTACTGAAGTCCATATCTTACACTATTGGTTAACTAATGATACTGCATGATATGAGCTAGGTAATTCAGGATACTTACTGGACTTCAATAAAATCAAGCTTTTTGCTTCTCCCCATGATCTAGGCAGTAGCTTTATTGCAATTCATAACCCCAGGTAGAGGGGTTTTAGTAGTCTCAATAAAGCACTTCAGTATTAATCCATCTGAAACAAACTTTTCTATTCTTAAGTTTTTAAACAACAGATTTTACCTCTTCTACTGAGAATGGGACCCCCAATTTTTGTCAATCAACTTCCGTTACTCATGATACCTTCTCCAGATACTCCCTCCAGACTTTTCTTCATGCTCCCCCATACCCCTTTATGCTAGTTATGACTCTCCAAGCAGGAATGTGCTACACTATCATATGCTTTTATTCAGATTACCATTTTACACAATAGAAGTTTTCCCACTGTTACAGTCGCAAGCAATACCATCTACTGCTATGCCTCCTTTCCCGTAACAGAGTTCCTGCTTCAAACCACCACCACCCCATGCTTGAAGAGGGAGTGAATAAGCAAGACTGGATAGGATTGTGTGTTTCTTCAGAACTTTTTATTTTCTGAGAAACAACAAGTTTAGGAAACATGGTAAAAAGACAAAGAGGGGGATGCACACTTTGTTTCAGAATAACAAATTTAGGAATTTAGTGAAAAGATTAGATAGAAAGGGGAAGGGGATATGATACTTAATCAAGAGCAAGCAGAAAGGGATGACAGTGGTAAGGCTTGCTCTAGACTTCTTCTCACATTCTCTCTCAATTATTGCACTCAATCATTAGCAAGTGTGCTACATACATGATCAGGCTTTGCCAATAGCCTGGCAATGCAAAGGAGCTTGGGCTAGCACCAGGGACTCTGCTTGAAGAAGGAAAAGAAGTTGACTAAATGGGATTTATGAATGGACTGTGGTCTGTTATGTACCTCTGGCAGATTAATTAGGTTTATGCAACAACCTGTGTTTGTCTCTTTATTAGGACATCTGAATGCAGCCAATATTCTACAGACCACCTAAACATAAGATAAAACTCTGAACGGGTCATTAAGAACACTACTTCCAACATTTTAAGGCACTGCAATGCATTGCGTTAATAAGAAAAAACATTTTGGACATACTGGACACTTCAGTCCTTTAGCACAGAACTACTTCAACTAACAGTGCAGTACATTTACAGTCATTCATGAAAAACAAACTCAAATTTCTTACCATCAAAGAAACTTTTGGCTCTCAGGTAACTAACACTGAGCCTAAGCACAGACAGTTTATCCAGCTTGGCAATAACATCCTGAGGGAATGGCAGAAGACCAGCCAGGCGATCTAACTCTGCATTCAGTCGGTCTCTGTGCCTTTTTGATGGGTTAGACTTGGCTCCCTCAGGAGGGGAAGGTTTCACTCTGCCATTAGAGAAGAAAATAGTATAAGGTCAAATTTTAAAATATCAATACAATTAATAAAAATGTCTGTCATTTATTGCACAAAACAATAATTTTAGTAATTATGTCAATTCAAGACTATGAAGCTCCTAAGCACATTTTTACTTCCAAATGAAGCTCTTTCCTCTCAAATATAAGCTATAAAAGACAGAGGGGAGATCTGCTTTCTTTTTCTTGCTCCTGGCATACAAGCAAAAGCTTCATCACTCTTTAGGGTCTGGAGTTATAACAAACTTTTGGAAATAATACAAATACCTTAAAGCACATTAATAAGTGCCTCAATCCCAGTTCACAAGAGTGACTGCCACAAACTTCAACAAGTGGCAAACGTCATGAGATTCTAGCCATTTGTACCATAGCAGGGGTGGAAACTAGTCAATGGGTCAAAAATAGTGGTTTTACTGACCAAAATTTTAAAAAACCTGACCAAATACTGACAAAAAACTGACAAACTACATAACAATTTAATGTCATCCTATTGATAAGCTAGTGTTTTAAATGTAAATCTAGGACTTCATTAAAAATGATTATTATCTGGCCTCCACCATCCCTATAGCCAGCGCCATAGTCAGATGTGATCCAGATAAAAGGATTGCACACCTTTTCATCGAATGTTTTAAAATGAAGACAAGACAATATTTTCATTATTGTATAAAATGTAAGGCAAAAAAGATTCCTTTTAAAAATAGTCACATACTGTACATAATAAAACAGCAAAACCTATTAAAAACCACACATAAAGTAATCATTATTACAACAAAACATAATTACTGTAAGGTAAGACTTGTCTTTGCTTTTACTTTATCTTTGGTTTTTTGATGAAAAAAGAAGTTATTAATGAACTCTTTAGTTTCTCAACAGTTTTCCGCACTGCATCCGCAAGCATTTTTTTCTTGTCCTCTTCTTCCATTGCTTTCTCCACTCCTAGCTGAGCTGTGCTGTGCCAAAACCCACCATATCCTTTTTCTCAGCAGCCTCCTTTCCATGCTTGGTTGCATCATTTTAGCAACGTTCAAACAGCCATCCTCTTCTCATTCTGTTGTCTCAGTCTTTTTAGTTTTGCTTCCTTCTCTTGTATACTATCCTTTTCTCTATCTTCTTAAACCTTTCTAACTCCTCTGCTTTTTCCCCTTCTTTCTTTTCTTTTTACTCCTCTTTAATGACATACTGTTCATCACAATATTGCTTGTAATGAACATGAACTGCTCTTGCCATCTGTAAAAGCTCCTGTGTGATAGTAACATGGTATACATTATTTTCATATACATGATATAAAGTTTCTTTGACGATTAGGTGGGCATTCAAAGTTCTCTCTGACATCCAGACCCTTTCATTGGTCAAAATGCATCCACTTTTTGAAAACCCTTTCTATGTCCGTATTACCATGCAATAATGATAATGCTGCTTTAACCACCTTGGTAACCCGCCAACCCAGCGGCTCGAAAGTAATTGCAAGTAGAGAAATGGGTACCTGCCTTAGAGGCGGGGGGCACCCACCTCCTGGTTCCGTGCCAGGAGGGTTGACGGCGACGATGGCAGTAAGAGAAGCTGCGATGGCGAGGAAGAACAATGGCAGCATCTGGTGGACCGTAGGAGCGACGACGACATTGGATCGAGGCGGGACCGGATGACGCAACTGCGGAGCGACGCGGCGCGGCTGGAGCCCGAAGGGATGAGTAGCCGGGAACGCCGCAGTCCAGGAGCAGTGCGCATCAACGGAGGGTCCATCTGCAGCCCGCTGATGGTCTTGTCGCCCTAGGTAGGATCTGACTACAATAATGTAGGCCACCTGTAAACCGCTCTGAGACCCAGTAGGGGTCATGAGCGGCATAGAAGTCACATGTAAATAAATAAATAAATAAATAAAATAACCAGTGGGTATTTTGGATCTCCAGATGGGTGTGTCTTTTCAAATAACTGATTCCAGTATGTATCTATGCGGCAAGTTTCACTAGCAGTTTCATCTTGAAGTCTAAAGAAGATTCCATTTATCTGCAATCATGTCCAGTGGAATATCCATCGGGAGTGCTGCTGCTACTTTCATTATATCCTTGTTGGTTCCTTCCTTGACCTTCTATGCTGGAGCTAAACATTGAAGATACCTAAAGATGGGCTTGTCCAAAGATGACTGAAGTAAAAGGTGTTTGCAGGCTGCTACAAAATTTTTTGCTCCCGTTAAAAAGAGTAGCTGTTCCTTTTCAGAAAGTTTTTTCAGTTCGTCACAGATTCTGCTTTCACTGATTACTTCTCTCACAGGCATGTAGTGCTCATCACTGAAGGCTTCAAGAGACAATGGTGCTGAACTCTTACAAACACAATTCATTATGGTTCTTGTGAGTGCTTTTACTTCACTATGCATCACATGCACCAAAGGCTCTTCTTTCTGGAACACTCCAGTGAACTTTGTAAATAAACGGGCACTCATGCAAAAAAATATCACCTCTGCTTTCATTGTCTCGTGTTTTAAGAGGTTAATTATGTTTCTATACGTTGTGGAAGATTTCACCAAATCACTTTTACTCTTAGGAACAAAACAATCTGTCTTCTCACTGGGAAGTCATGTTTTCCCCAAAATGCAGTAATGGGGGGGGGGGGGGAACACAACTGCATTTACAAAAATCAATGAAATACTGACTTTACTGACCAATTTTTTTAAAAAACTGACTTTTACTGATTTTACTGACCATTTCCCACCCCTGCCTAGCATTGCACACACTCATCCTGCAAATGGCTAATCAACATGGTGGGAAACACATGTATTAACAGCTTGTCAAATGAAGCAGCCTGTACACAATTATGGCTTCAAGCAACTACAAACACAGCAACATGAACCTGTGAACTGGGATTCAATTGAAGCCCAAAGAGAACTAGTAAGGATTCTTGTTTCCTCTAACCTGTCCATATCTACAAGCAATGCTAGCCATCACACATCCCTTATTAGGACAAGGAAGGTCTAGTATCACTTCATTCTTGTAGTCATTAGTGTGGCAAGTATAAATCAGTAGTTTTTCCTACTCAGATTTCTGTAGGGTTAGTATTCTCAGCTTTGGGAACCAGACACCTTTCCTGCCTCATCTCCAAAGGCAGCTGTACCTGAACAGGGCCTTTGGCAATGATCCCAAGTAAAATACAGTTCAACATGGAATAAGGTCCATGCTAGCACCAGCATTTGAATTGTTTCTGGAATCTAACTAGAAGTCAAAGAAACACATATGTAATATGTTTACTGTAGAAGTCCCAATTAACCTAGCTCCTGGCACTGCAGACCAGATGAAGATTACAAATGCTTTTCAAAAGCGGTCCGTCATAACACATAGCAGTTGTTCAGTCTGAAATTTACTAGGATTGCAGCAAGATCTACTTTCCAATTAGAAGGCACAGTGGAGCACCAAATGAAGTCAATGAAAGGAATTTCTGGTCCCAGATGCCACTGTGAGAACCTAAAAGCAGATACAGTAACTGTAAGCTTTATCCTTACTGCTGTAACTATAAGCTTTATCTTGTAAGCTTTATCCTTAAAAAGAGAATGGAACCACAGCCAAGAAATGCCAAATAATGCCTCCATCATCATCACTGAACAACCAACCAAAATAATCTCTAGAGTGGATTCTACCCCTATCCTACCAATCCACTGAGCAAAGTTTGCTTATTGAAATATATAAGTACTTAAACTTTGCTCGCCTTTCCTTTTTGCTCAAGTTTAAACTTCCTACAATTTAAGGAGCTTTCTTCCAACTTAAGTGGCTCTTCTGTTGGAGGCCTGTTACTTGGAAGATGGCTGGATCCACCTCTCTGTCTTGTCTGATAGTGTTTCAGTTTGTTAGCACAGGGCTCATGGAGTTGCATACAGATTCCCCTCCCCCCCCAGGTATGCAGATAATAAATCATTTAGAATTTAAAAGGTCAATGCCTAACACATTCTTGTTTTAGACTTTTTTATTAACTGTACCTGTTCACCTACACATCTTGTTAATTTTGTCCTGTGCTTTGTTTTAGCAACAGCTGAATATACTTACTCTCCAAACCTGCTTCAAGACCAACCCACCAACTTATTTTTTAAAGTTACTGCAAGTTTCAGGGTTATGCAAATTGGCAAATAATTTTGGGTGAAAGGTGTACAAAAATACATTAGAAGTTAGCCCCAGGACAAGGGACAGAATTGAAAAATAAGTGCTGATGTGAAAAAGTAGATTATAAATGCACTAAATAAATAATGGAGCAACAAATTCCTCCAATACCCTCTGTAGAATCTAAAAGTAATTATTAATTCTAATTCTGTACACCTTAAACCTTCACAGGTTTTTAGATAAGGAAATACTAAAAGATGGACAAGATATTATTTACAATGCTTTGTGTATTATCAAGCAATAATGCAAAAAATATATTCCTGGCCATTGGTTAATTATTAACAATATTCAAACAGGCTAGGCATTTTGTACATTGTTTAATATCTCAACTATCAGCACTTCACACATCTATTAACATTTATGCAGAATATACAGAATTCTGAATATAACTGAATTCATTTCAGTTAACTGAAGTGCTTGACCGTAAGCAGTGAGATTTAACAAAGTTCATTCTATGTACTTTTAATAGCCTACTAAATGTGAGACTTGAATTTTCAGAGAATAATTGCATTCTGGCATATAGCAAAAAATTACAAGAATTATTATTACTATGCCTTGCAATAGTTAGAAAGAATTATTATATTGGAAATATTGGTAAGTTTACAGTTGGTAAGTCTTTTATTAAAGATTGTCCTTTTCTGTTAATGGATTAGATATACCAAATGAAGCACAAAATTTTCTGCAATGCAAAATAAGCAACTGTCAGTCAATTACTACAAGTTAGGGGGGAGACTAAGATGTAAGCCTAGATCGCTCTGCTTTATAATAGCCCTCAATACTGAAGACAAAAATGCTTACAAAGCAGAAATAGGAGCAGAAAATCACCAACCTGGA